TGATGGCAGCCCTCGTTGTCTGTAACAATTCCCAAATCATTCTTGTGTGTACGTTGCTTGTGCATTCTTTACGTTTAGAACACTTTCTACATACTGTGCACACTCCATAACAGAACCTTTGACCACAACTTATGGAACTCGTTTGTCCATGGATTATCTTTCTAGGAGACGTTTAGGGTGTACGTTGCTTGTGCATTCTTTACCCTGAAGTGCATAACTTTGCATTTCTCTACGTTAAATTTCATCTGCCATTTTAGTGCCCAGTCCCCCAATCTATCAAAATCCATCTGTAGCAAAGCAATATCCTGCTCACATTTTATTACTTTACAGAGTTTTGTGTAATCTGCAAACACTGAAACATGGCTTTCAATGCCTATGTGACAGAACCGTCTGTCTTTGGGTTATGTTTCTCCTCCCTCCATTCGTCTGTTTGTACGGTTGTTTCTTTGCCCGTGCAGTCCCCTTATTTTCCCATATTGTTTCCCGAAAGACTACCGAATTCGCAACCACCGGGAAGCTGGCGTGTGCCGTCAGTTGACCAACCAGTATCTGCGGTTAACCGCAGCTTAATTGACTGTTACTGGGTGGTCGCGGCTACACCTGGCTGATACACAATGGCGGTGTTATGGAGCTCCTCGGACAACCAGAGATGCTCTGCCCAGCTTCAGTACACCAAGAGCGGACACTTTTCTTCCCAAGCACCGCTGAAGACCCTCTGGGTCTTCAGCTCCGTTCATGAACCGAACGGCGGAGCATTCGGGACTTTGTGTTTTATATTGTACTATACGTGAGGGTACCTGGATAGCTATGCCATGGAGCCTGTTTGTGGAATTAAAGACTTTGGCTCCATGGCAATTAAACTGTATTCGTGTGGTCTGAGCACCATTCACCTAATAGTGTGCGCTCAGACCTGAGCTATCTGGGGGTATGTTACATGTCTATATTTATTGCAACATTTGTAACACTGTACATTTTAAAGTAATTCTCTATCCTGTTGCCCCCACGTGAAATAATGGCGATTTGCCTTTGTCCTGGGAAATAATTGAATTACTTCTCAATTATCTCCAGGGCAGAGAGGAGGAAGCCAGGATGCATTGTGGGGATGTATTGTGACTGTCTGTCCTGATCTGATGCCTGTCTGTCCTTTGTTACAGTCTCCCATTTGGTCCCCTAGGGGAGTGTCCAACAGGTGGGAGACCTGCATAAATACGGGTAGGTAGCCCACATTAAAGCCAGATCTTGTTTTACCCTCAATACGGAGCTTGGTTTCGTGATTGGGGGAATTTACTATACACTGTTAGAGACTGATTGCTGGAAGTGTAAGCCGCTTGGATGCTGTGCCTGCTCGTCGGTTAGCAGCTATTCGTGAGAATACCGTTCGGGAGTTTGGAGTACTACTGGGTACACCATTCGGGAGTTAGGAGCATTCCCCTGGTTCCAGTTCGGGAGTTTGGGGTTCTACAGTAACTGTGCCTATACCTTTGCAAGGGGAAGCTCTACTAAATGGCGGTTTAACTTCTTTATGTCGGGAGTGCCGGATCAGCCTATTTCAAGATCATTTATAAATATGTTAAATAGAAGGGGTCCCAAAACAGAATCCTGAGGGACACCACTTGCCACCTCTGTCCAGCTTGAAAATTTACCATTAATGACAACTCTTTGTATTCTATCCTTAAGCCAATGTTCTACCCAAGAGCAAGAAATTTCTGTGACAAACTCCCCTTTTTACATGAGTTTGACACGAGCTCCAGGAGGAGCTTGCTTGCCAGCCTCCTGCCCACAGACTATGGACCCTGTGAAATATAATGTTAAATTCTCAGTTCGTGCAATTGGGATTATATGGTTCAGTTACCGAACAACCGCACAAACCAGAGACGACCCTGGGGTTTAACACCTATTAACAACTTGGAACATTTCCTACCGCAGTGTTCTAATTATTCGTCTGGGTAGCTGCAATTCCTATGGACAACCACGAGGTGGCAGCCATCTTGTTCATATGAACGCAGGCAGCGGTGTTTGGGCATGAATCTCATGGAACTAAAATCGAACACAGAAACTCCCGAACACTGCTGGACTTCCATCATCGACTGCTTTTGTTTCTATACAACTTAGAAGGGCACTGTTTGGTGAGATCATTCGTCTGGATGAAGGGAACAAGCTCCAGGGTAAGACTATTGACTCTGCTCGGTAGTTTGTTTTGAAAGTACTGAACTAGACAGACCACAAGCCCTGATTCTCTGGAACTGTTTTGGGCATGGGACCATGTCTGCGGTCTGTCAAATAAATTACTTCCAGGAAATTCCTGAACTGATCTGGGTGATTTTTGGATATGTTGGTGACCAGATCAGGGCTATCAGGGGATGTAACATTTGTGGGGTTTTATGTCTTTTTAGGGTACTTTTGGGGTGTTTTGAAAAAGTATGTGTTTTTTTTTTTTTTTGTGCTTGGAGATAATTGGATTAGAATTACTACAGTATCTGACTCAATTATCTCCCAGGCAGAGGGGAGGGATTGTATGTTTGTACATGGGAGTGTCGTGCATTTAAACTCTATTGTCATTGGTCTGTTTCTTTATATTGTAGTCCCCCACAAGGTCCATGTGGGAGTGCCCCTTGCATGGGGACTTGTGTAAAAGGCCAGTGTGGCTCCCATTAAACTGAGTTTATTTTACCCCTTCATGAAGTAATGCCTCATGTTTGGGGGATTGGAGAACTATATTCACTCTGGGGATTGCTAGCTCTTATAAGAGCTTTTCCTGTGATACTCTCTGGAGTAAGAGAGGTTCACCCACTGGAAGCTGGATCCTAGTCTTGGGTCCAGGGTGGGTGGAGGACAGCAAAACCCCAACCAAGCTGTGGCGGTTCATGGGGTTTACGGTGCTCATGGTGTCTGGTGGAGTGCTGGAAGTACTTGGTGAGCACTACGGAGCAATGATTGATGGAGGTGCCCAGTCGGGGTGCGAGGCAGTCCGTCACATTTTCGTCTAACGTCTAGACCAATATCTCTTAGTTTAAACACTAACCTATTATGAGGAACCGTATCAAATGCCTTGCAAAATTCAAATTGATCACATCCACAGCAACAACTTTATCTATACTTCTACTTAGTTCTTCATAGAATGCGATTAGGTTGGCTTGACATGACCTCTGTTTCATAATGTACTGGTCCCTGTGATACAAGTTTTCAGAGAGTAAGAGATTATCATGAAAGATCCTGGCCGGTCCTAGAAGCCACCATAGAGTAATATGCAGAGCCAAATATATCACAATTACAACTATTTATATAGCGACAACACATTCCAACAGGTAATACATGACAAGTTTACAATGTACAGATAACTCAGTTCATTTTTCAATGAACAATAAGATGACCTGGCATCATCAACTATGGTGCATTATTCTTATTGTTAGAATGTATAAATCACCAATTTATTCTGCAGTGCATACAACACAATTAGGTTGGAAATTATCAACAAGTAAGACAAACAAATAAAGATTTTCACAGGAACAATATTTTGAATGAGTTTATAATCTACAAGAGGTGGGAATACTTACACAATATGAAGGACAGTTTGTAGGATAGGAGCCAGGTGAAAGTGTGAGACAGGCAGAATCAGATGGTGAGAGTTAGGTGGAGAATGGACCTACTTATTAATGACAGTTACCCTGGGAGGCCATAGGCTATTCTGGAGTTTTGAGGGACTTCTTAAAGGATTTTAGAGTAGGGTAGAGTCTGATTGAGAGGGGGGAGGCAGGCTGTTTCATAAGGACTGAGCCATAACGGTACGAGCAGCAGACAGGAGAGGGTCATCTGCAGAGTAAAGTGGCCGAGAAAGGGTGTACAAATTAATGTAATGAGCGGGAGGGTGGAGGGGGGTTAGAGTTGTTAAGAGCTTGATAGGTATTTTGAATTGAATCTTTCAGCGTACCGGGAGCCAATGTAAGGACTGATAGAGGGGCAAGGTATGAGAGGAGCAACAGGGGAGTAAAATCAGCCTGGTGGCATTCATTGCAGATTGTAGAGGGGCAGTATGGATTTTGGGGGGGGGGGGCAATGAGGAGAGAGTTACAATAATCCATGCAAGAAATTACTAGAGCATAAACAAGCTACTTAGCAGCAAAGGAGCATCCGCTTCTTTGCGTAAAAAAGGGGCGATAATGTGCAACGTTTTGATGGTGGGATCATCAGGATGTTGTAAGGTCAGAATCAAAAATAACACCAAGACAGTGAGCTTGCAAAGACAGGCTGATTCGGGTACCATCAACTTGCAGGGAGAGCGAAAGAGGAGATCAGCTCAGAATTAGCGGGAAGACATACAATCTGAGATGGAAGAATGGCAAGCAGTGATGTGTTCTAGGACAGTGGGGCAGAGATCGGGGAGGAAAGATAGATCTGGGTGTCATCGCCGTGCAGTTGGTAGCGTAATCCTAAGGAATTAATACATTTCCCAAAAGAGGCAGTATAAAGAGAGAACAATATTGGGCTTAGAACGGAGCCTTAAGACAGGACGAGGGAAGTCCCAAATCTGCCACCAATTGTAACAGAAACAGGGGTGATTGACTCCTGACTTGGAATTCAGACCTTTCCCACTAGGTCATTCTTTACTTCTCCCCTGGCACCAGGGTCCATTGCAGCCATTCTACCCCCAGACAGCCAGGTCACCCCCTCTGACAACTCCTTCTTTAAGGCAGGTATTAAAAATGGAGAAAGCCCATTACTAAGCAGGTTACTCTAACATGTCCCTTCTGCCATGGAACCAAGCATGTATGTACGTAGTGGGCATTGGATAGCATTCTCTTCATCCCCCATAAAACCATAACTTACCCCTTCAAATAACGACAGACAACTTCTTGGAGAAAACAGGTCATTTATTAACACAACCAAATACTGTATGATTCCTTTAACATATAACGAAATAATAAATATCATAAATTAACATAAACAATTTGCATATAGTCATACAGTAACCAAATAAACCGTCCTTGCCAATCTAACTTCCCCAAGGCTCTCACCTCCCCCCCTCGGCATAATAAAAACATCTTCCTTTTCAGGGCTCCCCACCAACTCTGTGGGGCCCAACCATAATGCTCCCCACTGGTCGACTTACAACCCAGTGGGGACACGTCCAACCTGGTACCTCCTCCAGGTTCACCATAAGAGACCGGGGGAGGATGAGACCTGGCCATTATCCTCCTTTTTCATCTAATCTACCAAACAATCCCTTATTTGGCAAGGACATGCCCCGCCTCGCTGTCACAACCCCCCCAGGCCCAAAGCAGCAAAGGGAGGGTGGGAGGGAAACTTGTTGCTGGCCCGGCTCCTAAGTGGCACTGAGGTCAGTCTGATCTGTCACCACCCACTTCCTCACATCTCACACTCCCACATGTAGCATATAGCCAATCATGCATCATCCATCCCACACTCATACATGTAGAATATAGCCAATCATGCATCATCCATCCCACACTCATACATGTAGAATATAGCCAATCATGCTGTGGCGGAACCCGCCTCGCCACCTGGCATTGGAGAGGCCTGGCTGCCCGCCTCCTTCCTGCTGACTATGGCCCCTGGTAAAGTTGTACTTTTGAATGCAATATTTGGGCATATTGTATTTTATTGTGCGGCTACTGGCTCTTTAAGCACAGTGAATGGACTTACTGAAACTTTTTGGACACTTCCTCTTCCCCTCCCCCGGATTCATTGTTATCTAGCAGGGTGTTGTCCCAGGGACACTACCAAACCAGTGGGAACTGGTTTGCCAGGAAAAATCATGCTTGCAAGTAAAAACAAAGGACTTCGACCTAACCGTTAAACCCTTGAACCTATTCAAGTGAATTTTGGATATGTTTGTCCCCAAGTTATACTGGTTAAAATAATATAAGTTTTATGTATGTGCGATGTTAACTCACAAAGTTATAAAAATGTACAAAAAGTAACTTTTCAGCTTGGAGATAATTGAGTAGATACAGTAATTGACTCAATTATCTCCTAAGCAGAGGGGAGGAATATGCTGGGTGTGTTTCTATTTTCCCATTGTGTCTGATTGGCTGCTGTACTTGCATTGTATGTGTTGTAATGTGTTTATTGGTGGTTCTGCAAAACCCTGTGGGCAGTACTATGTTTTGTGGATTGTAATAAAAACCAGGCTGGGTGTGCCAGCACTTGAGTTCCTGTTTTAACCCTCAAAGTGAAGTGTCGTCTCATTATTGGGGGAAGGATTTATTGTATGCTGTTCCAGTTTGACTGCTAGGAGAGTAAACCTATTCATATGGTTCCTATTCAACTGTCTACAGCATTCATATGCTTGAGAGGATTCAAATGCTTCTCTTCTCCGGTTCGGTGGCTGTGGTGTCTGCTGCAGTGCTTGGAGCCCTCAGGAAGCGCTAGGAGCATCCTTTAACGGAGGTACCCAGTCAGGGTGCCAGGCGATCCGTTACATTGGTGGCAGCGGTGGGATGGCGTCCTAGTGCGAGGTAAAGCAGCTCAGAGACACAGTTCGTTTGGATTTACAAATTGAAGGCGACGCTAGTGTTTATACAGCGTCCCTGTCTACATAAAGATTTGGGAAAATGGGGTTTGTGGATCCTTGGGCAACACGCACACCTGAGGAAGAGAGTGAGTTGGAATGGAGAGATATTGCCCGGCAAGAACTATGGTACGATGCCCTGGAGGAAGTCCAGTATCAACGGCAGCAGCGCCTTCCTGGTGTCGCATACCGGTTGGAGGAACAAATGGCCTGGCGGATGCCGCTTCTGGGAGACCAACCCGGAGGGCAGCAAGTCAGACAACTTGAGTACCTCGTGGAAAGGGAACTGAGCCTTGACGCCTCATACCGGGCACTGTGGTGGTGCACTGTCCAGCCAGAGACGTGGAGGGCAAAGGGCATCCAGCCGGAGGGGGAGAACTACACTAGCCCTGGCCTGTTGTGGAAGGCCTGAGCAGAAGACGTCGACTTTGGCAGTCCAGCAGAGTCACGGTACTGGGCTATCTTTTATTACCGGGGTGAGATGGTACAGGGCCCGAGATCTATGGGACTGGGACAAGACCTCCACCGTTTGGCTGCCATGGAACGACAGCTAGAGATGGACTATGTGGAACTTCTGAACTCATGTCAGCCGCAGAGCATAGACGCAGAACAGGAAAACTGGGTGGCGGACCCAGACCTGCCAACCTACAGCTGGGAAAACGCAGCCAAGGTCCCCACTGCTTCACTACCAGTTGCAGAAGTAGGGGACCTCATAGATTGGTCCTGGGAAGACCCACCGATGGCAGGTAGAGATGGGACGGCTGTCTCTCTACCGGCCCAACAGGGATGCTGGGCAGTCGGCCCAGATCCCCAGCGGCTGTGTGTACCCCAGGGAGCTGAAGGTGCCGTTCTTCCTCCCCAGCGGCAGTGTGTACCCCAGGGAGCAGAAGGTGCCGTCCTTCCTCCCCAGCAGCAGGACAATATATTGAAAGGGGAGACAGATGGTCCCCCTCTTCACCAGCAGACCAGTATGGAAGGGTCTGGAGATAATTGGCTGGCCGAAATAAGGCAGCGAGTGGCCCAGTATGGGGATGATGTACCCATGGAGACACACCGGGTGATCTGGAACCAGGTCATGGCCGAGCGAAACACAAGGCTGGACCGAGAATTCCAGCGGACGAAAGAGAGAGAGCATCAGGGAGAGTTGCTTGTTACCCCCTCTCCCCAGCGGCAGTCTATGGTTCAGGGAGAGGAGCTTGTTACCCCCTCTCCCCAGCAGAAGCATAGCCCACCAAGGGGAGACACTAAACCCCTCACCAGCGCAGATGGGACCGTGGTCTCTGCGCCCAAGCTACAGGGAGTACGGAGGATCAGTCCTGTTCCCCAGCGGCAGAATATTTTACCGGGAGGGGAGAGTGTCTTTCCCCCTCCCCAGCGGCAGCCTAGCCCACCAAGGGGAGACACTAAGCCCCTCACCAGCGCAGATGGGACCGTGGTCTCTGCGCCCAAGCTACAGGGAGTACGGAGGGTCAGCCCTGCTCCCCAGCGGCTGGAAGTGTGTAAGGGAGAGGAGTTTGTTACCTCCTCTCCCCAGCGGCAGCATAAACCACCAAGGGGAGACACTAAGCCCCTCACCAGCGCAGATGGGACCGTGGTCTCTGCGCCCAATCTACAGGGAGTACGGATGGTCAGTCCTGCTCCCCAGCGGCAGAATATTTTGCCGGGTGGGGAGAGTCTCGTTTCCCCTCCCCAGCGGCAGCCTAGCCCACCAAGGGGAGACAGTAAGCCCCATAACAGTGCAGAAGGGACCGTAGTCTCTGCACCTGCACCACTGGAGATATGGACAGTCTGTCCTGGCCCCCAGCAACAGGACAATGTATTGGAAGAGAAGGCAGTTTGTTTTCCCCTACTACAAGAGAGGTCGTCGCAGGGAGACGAGCCTGTTACCCCTTCTCCCCAGCAACAGCTTTGTCCAACCAGGAGAGAGAGCACCCTGGTTACCTTTCCACCAGACTATGGATTTCCAACTGGACACATGTGGCAGGAGAACACCGGGACAGCTACACTGGGTGAGAAAGGCCGACCGACTATCAGAGCCCCAGACCGATTGAAGGTCTGGAGTCTGGATAGTCTCAATGGGAAAGGGGAGAAATGTGGCGGAACCCGCCTCGCCACCTGGCATTGGAGAGGCCTGGCTGCCCGCCTCCTTCCTGCTGACTATGGCCCCTGGTAAAGTTGTACTTTTGAATGCAATATTTGGGCATATTGTATTTTATTGTGCGGCTACTGGCTCTTTAAGCACAGTGAATGGACTTACTGAAACTTTTTGGACACTTCCTCTTCCCCTCCCCCGGATCCATTGTTCTCTAGCAGGGTGTTGTCCCAGGGACACTGCCAAACCAGTGGGAACTGGTTTGCCAGGAAAAATCATGCTTGCAAGTAAAAACAAAGGACTTCGACCTAACCGTTAAACCCCTGAACCTATTCAAGTGAATTTTGGATATGTTTGTCCCCAAGTTATACTGGTTAAAATAATATAAGTTTTATGTATGTGCGATGTTAACTCACAAAGTTATAAAAATGTACAAAAAGTAACTTTTCAGCTTGGAGATAATTGAGTAGATACAGTAATTGACTCAATTATCTCCTAAGCAGAGGGGAGGAATATGCTGGGTGTGTTTCTATTTTCCCATTGTGTCTGATTGGCTGCTGTACTTGCATTGTATGTGTTGTAATGTGTTTATTGGTGGTTCTGCAAAACCCTGTGGGCAGTACTATGTTTTGTGGATTGTAATAAAAACCAGGCTGGGTGTGCCACCACTTGAGTTCCTGTTTTAACCCTCAAAGTGAAGTGTCGTCTCATTATTGGGGGAAGGATTTATTGTATGCTGTTCCAGTTTGACTGCTAGGAGAGTAAACCTATTCATATGGTTCCTATTCAACTGTCTACAGCATTCATATGCTTGAGAGGATTCAAATGCTTCTCCGGTTCGGTGGCTGTGGTGTCTGCTGCAGTGCTTGGAGCCCTCAGGAAGCACTAGGAGCATCCTTTAACGGAGGTACCCAGTCAGGGTGCCAGGCGATCCGTTACACATGCATCATCCATCCCACACTCATACATGTAGAATATAGCCAATCATGCACCATCCATCCCACACTCATACATGTAGCATATAGCCAATCATGCATCATCCATGTAGCATATAGCCAATCATGTTTCATCCATCCCACACTCATACATGTAGCATATAGCCAATCATGCATCATCCATCCCACACTCATACATGTAGAATATAGCCAATCATGCATCATCCATCCCACACTCATACATGTAGAATATAGCCAATCATGCATCATCCATCCCACACTCATACATGTAGAATATAGCCAATCATGCACCATCCATCCCACACTCATACATGTAGAATATAGCCAATCATGCATCATCCATCCCACACTCATACATGTAGCATATAGCCAATCATGCACCATCCATCCCACACTCATACATGTAGAATATAGCCAATCATGCATCATCCATCCCACACTCATACATGTAGCATATAGCCAATCATGCACCATCCATCCCACACTCATACATGTAGCATATAGCCAATCATGCATCATCCATCCCACACTTATACATGTAGAATATAGCCAATCATGCACCATCCATCCCACACTCATACATGTAGCATATAGCCAATCATGCATCATCCATCCCACACTCATACATGTAGAATATAGCCAATCATGCATCATCCATCCCACACTCATACATGTAGAATATAGCCAATCATGCATCATCCATCCCACACTCATACATGTAGAATATAGCCAATCATGCATCATCCATCCCACACTCATACATGTAGCATTTAGCCAATCATGCATCATCCATCCCACACTCATACATGTAGCATATAGCCAATCATGCATCATCCATCCCACACTCATACATGTAGAATATAGCCAATCATGCACCATCCATCCCACACTCATACATGTAGAATATAGCCAATCATGCACCATCCATCCCACACTCATACATGTAGAATATAGCCAATCATGCACCATCCATCCCACACTCATACATGTAGAATATAGCCAACCATGCACCATCCATCCCACACTCATACATGTAGCATATAGCCAATCATGCAGCATCCATCCCACACTCATACATGTAGGATATAGCCAATCATGCACCA